AATAGTACCTAACTATTAACTTTATCATTTTATCTTAGTTGTAGATAGATAGCTTAAACATAGTAAATGTTTAGTGGGTTGTTTTCTCCTGGGCGCCAACGAGGGCGATATAGGAGGTGGCAGGAGTGGGGATCAAGGCAATAATGAGTTTTTTTTTTCAATCACAAAGTGAAAGGAGTTTTTTTTTAGAAATGATAAATACTGAACGTTCGGGATTTGATCATGGAAGATCGAATATTTTTTATGACAATTTTAGTTGACGCGAGGATGAAAAGTTTAGGTGGCAAGCACGATAATTTTCTGGCAAAAAATAAACTTAAAGTAGATTGGCTATGTTTACCAACTAAACTTGCCATGGTAAACAAATATAAATTGTCAAAATAACATTTTGTTTAACATGGTCAAATCCGGACTTATGGACGTTTTTTTTTGAGAGTACACCAAAGACGTACCATATTTTTATAGAAGTCAGAAGACAATTACAAGAAGCTACAACTCGTTGCAAACAACAAGTGTAGACAAATACCACACCCAAGCTAATCTAAAGAAAATCCTCCGCACACATAACATACACAACGCAAAGGCGCCTACCCTAACTAGAGCAACATAGCCGCGTCGCGACCAACACCGATCATCTCGAAGAGTAACAACTTCAATTGGACTACCCTAGTCGACGCACCAACCACCCTTGAATGCCGAAGAGGAGATGGCGAGTAGTTGGCGGGACTCGGCTGGTCCCAAGAAAGCCACCATCTTGAGCTCACTGGCAATGGCGTACATTGCGCCCATAACCTCCAGTTGGACCAACGACATACATCAGAGGACCGCATTACAGAATCACCAAGCCATGTCTCCACACCCGGTACTCCCAACAAAGAAACGACGCAGCAACGCCACCATCGCCGGTCCAAGACCTAGGCTTTCGCCCGGAGACGACAATCCGAACAAGAGGGGGAAGGTGGCGACACACCGTAGCAATGCCTCCAAGGAGGGAAACGATACCCACAGGCGTCTCGTCGCCAGCACCGACCAAAGACGTGCATGATTTTCATTCATAATGTCGCCCACCTCCCATCCCTCGCAACGAATTGGGCCACTCATCTGTAAAGGATCACACCACAGCACCTCGCCATCATGGATGTAACATCGCAGAACACCTATGCCCAGCACGGCCGAGGGCACTCAGACCATCATCCACCTCCCGCACAGCCGGGGAAAGCAACTCTAGACCACCTTCCCGACCCAAAACCAACACGGCCAGGGGCCGCCGGCGCCTCAAGCAATGGCTGAACAAGCCACTCCTGCCGGACAGTCACACACAGAGAGCAACCCTCGATGCCTGGAACCCACAAACGGAGGAAAACCAGCCGTCTGATGGAGCTCCCTGCAGAGAGCTGCTATTCCGAGCTCAATCTCAGATCCAGCACCGCTCCATCTCCTCCTCATTGCACTCGCCAGCAGCAGCCCCCACACCGGCTTCACCAGAAGGCACAACGCACCCTGTCCACCGCAGCAGCTCCCGACCGCCGCTAGCGAAGCCCACCTGGGCGAGATCTGGTGCCTCCATGACCGGGCGCGCCGTCCCCTCCGAGATCCGCCGCCTCTATGACTGGGAGGGCCGCCGCGCACCAACACCTCCTCCACAAGCCCGCGGCTGTGCTCCGCCTCCGCCTCCACATGCGCACCTCGCCGCCTGCCACGCCACCCGCCTCATCGCCAGAGAGACCACTGCGCCACTTGCTTGACGCCACTCCTCCGCGCGTGGGAGGCCCGTCGGGGCACGCAAGACTTCGCGCGCCGCCTTTGACGGCTAGGGGAGATCGAGGAGGGGGGCGCTCGCGGGGCCAGGGTTGGAGCCTCCAGAGCCGCCCGCGGGAGCGGCTCGGGAGGGAGGGGAAAGTTTTTCTTATGGACGTTTTTTAACTTGTGAATAAAGGAGTTGGGCCGTTCTACATGTTCTTTTTGTTGTGTCCCTGCCCAGTGTTCTCGGTGGGTCCCACGGCGCAGAAACCCCCCACGTGATCATCCTAGGCGCTCCTCCCTTTTCTAGTTTTCTTCCCACCCGTGGCTCCTCCGTCCTCTCCGCCCCGTACGCTCTTGACTGACTGAACCGATCCGGCGACCCCTGCCTCCCTCGGAGAGCATCCCCCCACCGGATCAGCTCCTCCTCCGGTGGACCGCGCTGCCGTGGGCGCTGAGCGAAGGCCTCCGGTGGATCCGTCCCGCGGGTGAGGAACCCCCGTCTTTCTTTTCTTGGAGCTGATTTTAAGCTGGTTCTTGCTCGCTGCTCAACGATCCCGGCTGGTTTCCTTGCAGAGCACCGATCGCGCTCTGATTTTCGGCCGTTTTGTTGGGGGCCTGACAGCCAAGCGGAGGTGAGGGGAGGGGGGCGAGGCGAGCAAGGAAGTAGCCTGAAGGTGGGGTGAGAAAGGGAAGCAGAGGAACCAAGGTCTGCTGCCTCCGTCTCTGTCTTTCTCTTCCAGATCTCTTCTTTTCAGATGCCCTCTTTGCGATTTGCCAACTCTTTCCTCGTAGCATTCGAGAGCTCACTGATCCCACCAATGCCAGCTTAAACTAGTACTAGTAGTATATTGAACAGTAAAACAGAGATCTCCTGACATTGGTGGGTGGTACTAGTTAGCTGTAGTATAATTTGTTTATGCTAAGCACACCTTTCAGCTAAAGTACTTGGCCAAGGGCACATGAAAAATTAAGGTTTAGGGGCGAACGAGCCTGCTGCTCTCCTAAATTGCAATCATCAAAGTTTTCTCCGCCAACCAGGCGCGTCTTCGACTTCGCTTGACGAACTGCTGTGAACAAATCCTGCAGAAAATTCTAGATTTTTGCAATCGGAGTTCTTCAAATTGGCAAGCTAAAATATATGGGATGTTTATGGTTGGATGCTTTAAGTTGGAGAGGCTGTCAAAGCCAAAAATAGCAGTTAATTAAGGAAATATAGTTGTTTCGTTGATATGATATCAGTATCTCAATTCTGAAAGAGGGGTTAGTTGAAAATCCAGTAGTCAGATTATAGTAGTGTTGAACTTATGGATTACTAAATTTGCGGAATCTGTGTAACGGAATGAATTTCTTCTTTGTCATCTGCACATGGTTTCACTTTTTATTGATATACTAACATGGTCTGGTTTTGACATACAGATTCAATATAATTTTGTGGTACACAGAAGAGTAACACATCAAAGACAGCGCAAATACATAACCATCAGCATGCCTTTTTTCCTTACTGTTTTTTCATGGTTTCTCTGGTCATCTATGTGCACAGTTTGACCCAGTGAAGCTGAAGAAACTTGGGGCCAGCGTTTAAGAAGAATTGGCCTGTAACAGCTGGCAGTTCTTCTACTATAAGGTTTGCAATTTTCATACCCTTGTTATTTGTTTTATTAATTTATGGATATTTACTTAGATGGTAACTTTGCAAAATAGTTTAAACAGCAATATTCCAGTATGGTACCATAACCCTGAATAAAAACATCCAGCTAGTAGAATTGAGCTATGTGATTGAAGTGCCGCTATTCAGTATTTGTTAACATAACAATTTCATTCAGATTTACCTTGCAAAAAAAAAAATTCATTCAGATTTATGATCCTGCTTGGTCTAGCATTGTAGCTTTATTTTTACATGACCAGACTACCTTCAGCCAAACAATGTTGTAGATTTTCAGTAGTAAAAATCAACGGTCTGTTCTGTGTCATCTTAAGAGAGTACTGAAGAGCTAGATTATTTCAGAGCTCAAATTTTATTCTTTTTTGCATGGTTAAGATGAATTACACGAAGCGATGTTACATTAAAGTGTAACTGTAGTGCCTTTCTTATCTTCCAGCACTGTACAGTTGGTGCTGCTGCAATTGTACTAGTCAATGTGGTGAAAGCTAAGAACCTTGGCCTTCAAGTTATTGCAAGGATAAAATTTGAGCTGAAGGTAGTCTGGTCTTGCCTTACATGCCTTTCATTATTCATTGCTGGTGAAACAAATGTTGTTTGAAAATTTTCGACCCATTATTCTTGTTAATGATTACTTATACAAACATTATCCTTCCCTATGTCTCAAAACTGTGAACCTAGATAATATCATCCAATGATCTTTTTCTGTAGGATTCAATGTTATTTTTTTCTCCTTTCTTATTATTTTGCATTACAATGAGTTTTTTTGCATTAACACTCATTACAACTTCAAGCGCTTGTACTATTTACAACAGCTCCAGCTCTTGCTATCCTAAAGGTTATATCAAATTCAGGTCTCAAGATTCACAAATAGCCTCATTCTAGTGGATACGATCAAGAAAGCGACAGTTTGGTCACACTTGGATCCGGTAAAGCCATTTTTGTTCGATTTTTAGGAATGTCGCTGTTACTTTTAACTCAACACATGGAGATGCTAATTGACCCGAGCTATGTGAAAAATTCCATAATTGAGGAAGAACTCTAATTCTTACTACTACTCGAGCTTCTCGACCTCTTGTGAAATCTATTCATTTAGCAATGTACAGAAGGAAATGGTAGCTTCATTTTCAATCAAGATATACTGAATGGATATGTAGGAATCAAAGCAACCGCTAGAGCTCTGGAATCAGAGTTCTTTGAATTTGCACATTAAAATATTTATGACGGGTTATATGAAAATAATCTTACTGCATTTGTCTTCGATAGTACACTCACTGTTGTTTTACCACATGTACCAAAAAAGAGAGTTCATGGCCGGTGCTCCAAGTTAAAGAGCCAGTCATGTTATAATAGCTACATAAATGTTCAAGTATCTCGATTCTTAAAAAGGGTAAGTGACTTTGGTTATACATTTGTGACACTAATTACCCCTTCGAGTGAAAATTCGTCTAGAATACCCCTTTTGAAATCTTTGGACCCTTGTTTTTTGATGCGTGTCCATCAGGTAAGGTGTGAAGTGACGCCCTGTATCCAAAAACATGTGGACGGCCACAAGGAGTGGAACAGATAGACAAGAGAAGCTTGGACAAGATCGCCAATGATGCCCTCCGATCCTTACAGTTTTTTTTACAAATCAATGACGCAACATGCCGATCCTATCGACCATAAACAGACAAAATGTAAAACTGGGGTAAAACCGTGTTAAAAGTCTCCAAAATCTGACATTTCGATAAAAGTTCCGCTAAATAGGGTAATATGTGTCACAAATGTACAACTACAAGGTAAAAAATGGAATTCACTCTTATTTTTATTATCCTTGCTACTTGTTTATTTTCCCTTAGGGGTGAAATGTATGATGGATGGATATAGCTTCAACTTCTTTTTATTCCTGCACCATTCTTCATTAATCATTGCTCACACAATTTTACTATTTCAGGCCGCAAGATGACTGTAATAGATTTCATAGATCTGAGTGATCATGATATTATTGACTTGAGCAGCAGCGATGATGAGACTGTTCAGGAGGATCATATTGCAACTCAGCACCGGGCGGCGTCGCTTGATAGGCAGACTATGCATGTCGTAGCTGGTGAAGGAATCCAAGATGTGCAGGCTGCGCTTGTTGCAGCTAGTGAAGGAAGGCAAGATGTGCAGGCTGTGTTTGCTGCAGCTAGTGAAGGAAGACAAGAGGCTGCTGATTGCGGACATGCTTTGGAAGCCACCACATCGTCCTTGGTTACGGAAAAAGAACCTCTTGTTGCAGCTAGTGAAGGAAGCCAAGATGTGCAAGCTGTGCTTGTTGCAGCTCGTGAAGGAAGCCAAGATGTGCAGGCTGCGTTTGTTGCAGCTAGTGAAGGAAGCCAAGATGTGAAGGTTGTGCTTGTTGTAGCTACTGGAGGAAGTCAAGAAGTTTCTGACTCTGGAAATGGTTTGGAAGCTACAGCATTGTCTTTGGTTACTGAAAAAGCACCTCTTGATATGGCTGAATCGCACAACTGTCCTCGCTCTCCCACATCAGCGCCGTTCCCCAGTATATTCCTCTATCCCTTTCTCAGTACAGTTGTGTGTATCAAGCAAACATTGCAACAAATTATTATTATTTGAAGTTAACAGCACCCTTCCCAGAAAATAAATTAACATTGACCTTCTTCAGGCCCGACTTCTACCGTTCTGAAGGCTCCGACCTTTGAAGGTGGCGATGCAAAGCTGGTAAGAGGAAAAGTGAAGCGTCCCAGGAAGAACTACCACACCGGTACTCCTAGGACAAGTCCTAGGTTTGAACTGAAGCCTGAATGTCGGAACGGGCCTCTAGAAGAGCTGCCAGCCGAGGCACTGACCTCTGAAGGTGGCGACACGGAGCTGGTGAGAGAGAAGATGCAACATCCTGGGAAGGATTACCATTCCGGCACTCCTGGGACAAGTCCTAGGTTTGAACCGAAGCGTGAATGTCATAACGGGCCTGTGAAAGAGCTGCCAGCCGAGGCTCTGACATCTGAAGGTGGCAACGCAAAGCTGTTGAGAGGGAAGGTCAAGCATCCTCGGATGAACTACCATACCAGCACTCCTAGGATAAGTCCTAGGTTTGTACCGAAGCTTGAATGCCATAACAGGCCTGTGGAAGAGCTGCCAGCCAAGGCTCTGACCTCTGAAGGAGGCAATGAAGAGCTGGTGAGAGGGAAGCTGAAACATCCTAGGAAGAACTACCCTGCTGGCACTCCTAGGACAAGTCCTAGGTTTGAACCAAAGCGTGAATGTCATAACGGGTCTGTGGAAGAAATGCCAGCCAAGGTTCTGACCTCTAAAGGTGGTGATGCTGAGCTGGTGAGAGGGGAAGTGAAACTTTCTAGGAAGAACTACCATACCGGCACTCCTCGGACAAGTCCTAGGTTTGAAACAAAGCGTGGATGTCGTAACGGGTCCGTGGAAGAGCTGCCAGCTGAGGTTCTGACCTCTGATGGTGCTGATGCAGAGCTGGTTAGGGAGAAGGTGAAACATGCTAGGAAGGATTACCATACTGGCACTCCTAGGACAAGTCCTAGGTTTCAACTGAAGCGTGAACGTCACAAGGGGCCCGTGGAAGAACTGGCAGCCGATCACAAGAGGTTCCGCACACTAGAAGAATTAATTGCCTCTCCTGACAATGCAGAATCTGCGAAGACCCCGTCTACTGACTCTCTGAACTAAGGTAGTTGACTGAATATGATCCCCATGAAACTTTCGAACTGTTGTTTCTCTAGATTGTCTCATGCATGTTTACTTAACCACCATTGTTGCATTTGTAGTGTGGTCGGAGCTCACGTTGCCCCATGTATTTCTGAGTTATATTACCATTGCACCAAATCCGTCTAGATTATAACTTGTGGCTGACTGTTGACTGCAATACTCTCGATGTTCACGTGCATTTCTGTGAGATAATGCCTGACAAGCTGCTGATTCCAGTTGAATATCTCAGAGACTTTGAACCTGTTTTGTTTCTCATGCACATTTTGATGTACTTGGAGAAGGTACACATCTGGTGTTATTCGGGACTTGAGAGAACTATCGTATTGAAATTTGTGAAAGCAATTACACTGTTAAATTTGTGAAAAAAGTGTGTTTTGTACATGAAGCCTGAAGCTATATTTTTGTTCTTTTCAGAGATGAATTTAGGACTGAAGGCTGAACAACATCAGTAGTACTTGAAGAATGCTGTTCCTTGGGAGTTGAGAAACAACATCAGGCTGCAAGCTGAGATGTAAGTGCGCATTAATCATGTAACCAACCAGCAATAGGTTGAAAGTTGTGAGCAACTGCAGCGTGAAATTTGTGGAAAAACTCTGTTTTTTATGTGGTGGTTGGAACTATATTTAGTTGTGTTCACAAGGGAATTTTACAACTGTGAAGGTTGAACAACTCCGTCAGTTAGTGCTACTTGTTTGAACTATTTTTTTGGCGAGGGTACTTACTTGAAGTTCTGACCCTCTTCTAATAATGTTGTGCAAGCATAATAATATTCTGGAGACATATTGTTTGAAATCATCTCATATTTTTCGAAATAGTTCAGAACGCTGAAAATGTATAACTGATGATATACATGACATGAGTGTTCTTAGATATAGTTCAGAAATAAAGATATAACACACCAGGATTTATTTGAACCATAAACGCAAACCTTTGGAGCATGCCATTTTCTGTCTTGAAAGTCCTTTTAGATCTATCAAGTGCAGGTTGCTCAGAAGGAAATAAACATTCACACACAAGATTTGATGCTAACTATGAGAAGAAAATTGTAGAAATTCCTTTGCCATTTGCCAGCTGCATGTAATGAAAACAGAAAGAGAGCAGCCAATAGTTAGTGAGTGTGAAGAACTTCTTCTTTAACTTCTTGTTATGTGAACAACTGGGAGATATTTGAAAAAAAAGGAAATCTTTATCGCTGTTAGAAGAGATGTTAAATGCAGGATTTTCTCCTACAAATTTGACCACTACACTAATATCCTTTGGTTTAAGCCTTTAAGGGCTCATTCGGCTTGGAGGAAATCAAAAGGTAGGAATTAAGAGTTGGACAGGAATTTGGTAGAAAAGAAAGATTATTCCTTTCGGGAAAAGGCTATGAGTAGCTACTTTTTTAAAGTTCGAGTTAGAAGTTCAATTTCTTCTTATTATTATTACCGAGATACATATTTTCTATTTCTAGAACACATGGCAGAAAAATATAACACCAGCTGGTAGATGTATAGAAGTAGTGTAGTTGAAAGAAGCTGATGCTAATGGAGCACAAGCATGATAGTAGATATTTTGCACTTGAGCAACAAAAGTGCCATCTTATTTGAATTTTGAAAGGGCCTGAGGGTGAGGGAGATTGGTGCATTTGGGGACTTTTTCACTGTTCTAACCCATTTGTCAAAGTTTAGCACGATTTGACCCGTGTTTGAAAGTTTTTTTGGATCTGACCCATTTCAAGACGCCAGCAACCGTGGCGTCTAGATTGCACTGAAGACGCCACTAACCATGGCGTTTAGGTCCAAAAGGTTAAGTGACATGCATTCATGCATGCACACATGCATTTTTCGTGTGGCGGTGGCTTCCTCACGCGAGCATTAATCTGATCTGATGAGATCTGAGGCAAAAATATTTATATACTGTGTGCTAGATAGCTATAGGAGATGCCAAAATACAATTTTTGCATTTATGATACGTGATCAATCATTTGACGGAGAAACCGTTAGAGCATAATCATTTGACGAAGATACTGTTAGAGCATCTACAATCACGATTATCAAATCCGAAGCCCTATAATCACGATTATCAAATCCGAAGTCCTACACGTCCGCGGACAGTGACCGGTCACGCCTCAAATTCTCACTCGCACAACCGCATACCTCATATTCGGCACCCTATATCCATACTATCTATGCAACGTGAACTAGTCTACGTAGATCAAACAACGGACATAAAAATCGTCAGCAAACGGACACCAAATCCACTTTACATCATCCAAAAGTTCTCCACGGTTCATCACCGGACATGTTCTAAACTAAAACAACTAAAAAAAGATAATAGTATTGCACGAAAAATGCATGTGTGCATGCATGAATGCATGTCACTTAACCTTTTGGACCTAAACGCCATGGTTAGTGGCGTCTTTAGTGTAATCTAGACGCCACGGTTGCTGGCGTCTTAAAATGGGTCAGATCCAAAAAAACTTTCAAACACGGGTCAAGTCGTGCTAAACTTTGACAAATGGGTTAGAACAGTGAAAAAGTCCCATTTGGACTATACTAGTACTACTAGTAAAGAAGAATCTGGCTCATACTCCGCACAGCACTCCATCCACAGAGTAAAGCTGTCTCATGCGTACTGCTCTGCCATGCTCTGATGGATGGATGGATGGATGGATGGAGCAGAGACACAGGAGTATAGGACGGGAGCTGACCGGGCGTCAGGGCAAAGTGGTGGCCTGCCCCGTCCCTTCCCGAGCTGGTTCGGGCGGAGCGAGTGGGCATCGATAGTCGATACGACGCGCGGCAGAGCACACTTTTGCATCGAATAATGGGAGGAAATTGCACAAACCACCACTTATTGGGGCTGGTGTTGCGCAAAACACCTACTATACGAGTTTGTTGCGGAAAACACCGCATATTGATGTAATACATTGCAGATAGGTCTAATCTAGTATTTGGATGCATTAACATAATTACTGACAAATGGGTCCCGCTCGTAAGTGCACATGTGACAATAAAACCGGCCACATCAGCCAACATGTTAGACTGTCATTATCTCCAAAACCTGTGGTCCAGTTGAGCCGAAACTTTCCTAGATTAGTATTGAATATATGTAGTATTTACTGAAATTATTTCACATTTTTCTGAAAATGTCAAAAAAATTCACACTTTTCTAAAATTGTTAACTTTTGAACCCAAATTTAAAGCTTTCTAGCTAAAATCTAAAACCTTTGCAGAACAGTAAAGCTTTCTAGCTAAAATCTATGATAGTTTTTTTAGATTTTTCCGCCCAACATAAATATAAAAAATAAGTTTTATTTGATTAATATATATATATATTTTAGTATTTATGTTGGACGAAAAATTTTGAAATTTTTATCTCACATTATAGTTAGTAAGTTTTGCTGTGCTGCAAAGTTTGAAGTTCAAAACATGTTCTATATGAGAGAAACAAAAAAGAGAAAAATGCATATACAAATTTAGTTGTCTCGCACAGATCTTAAAGCAATATTGGAGGACCAGGATAGCAAGGCATGGGTGCAAGTGCTCTAAAAATCTGCGTCCCTCTTTGCTCGAGCCACTATGTATGAGATGGTTGTGTCTTGTTTCATCGACATCGGCTTTCAGCCCATCTATTTTTGTGAGTCGGCTTCCAGCCCACTTATTAAACTGTTTTTTTACTCTGGTCTTTTCACTTCTTGGTCTAATATACATTGGCTGATGTGGCCGGGTTTTATTGTCACGCGTGCACTTAGAAGCGGGACCCATTTATCAATAATTATGTCAATGCATCCAAATACTAGATTAGACCTATGTGCAACGTATTACACGAATATGTGGTATTTTCCGCAACAAACTCGTATAGTAGGTGTTTTGTGCAACACCAGCCCCAATAAGCGGTGGTTTGTGCAATTCCCTCCGAATAACGGCAAGCCAGCCATGCCATGGGTGCTGCACGCAAAGGACTGGACCTGCAAAGATTTTTTACTTTTCTTTTTCAAACTTGAACCTGCAATGCAGTGCTGTGAACTGCTCTTGCTTGTCTCGTTGCCATGACGGCATCACGGCCAGTGAAGATCGCTCCGGCGAGACGAGGCTAAGAGCATCTCCACTCCCCTCAAACCCCCACCAAGGCCCCAGGGAGCCTTTTGTTAGGGTCGGTGGTGAAAAAACGGCCCAGCCGTGTCTTCAGATTCTCGTTTATCGCCGGCTTGAGCCGAAATTACAACCGGCGAACCCAACACATCGAGGGGCGCCTGCTGAAGCGAAAAGCGTGTGGGCCCATGCCGTCGGGACACTGGCCGATTTCCCCCTTTCCCTCCATTTCCCCAGTGCTGCCC